GTCCTACTGTCACGCGTCTCCTGGCTACTGTTGTCACTGACCCTTCCTTTGAGTCCGCTGCTGCGTCTGCCTTAGTTGCTGAGCTTGTCGACTTTGCTGCCACCTGTCGTCTAGACTACGCCGCTAGCCTAGTTGCTGAGTCTGAGTCTGTCTGTCCTCCGTCCGTCGGGGGTGAGTGTGCTCTTAGCACTGACGTCCTTGAGGACACGCAGGAGGAGTTTGAGTGCTTTGCTGCCGCTTTGCCCCATCTCGTGTCCATGCTTGTTGCCCCTGAGGGAGACCCGGATGCACCAGACATCCCGACCCCACGCTCTTACGCAGAGGCGATGGCCGGTCCCTACTCCTCTCAGTGGCAGACAGCCATGGACACAGAGATGGCTTCCAGGAAGTCCACAGGCACCTACGTCGACGAGGTTCCCCCGCCTGGGGCGAACATCGTCAGTGGCATGTGGATTTTCAGGGTGAAGCGGCCGCCGGGCTCTCCGCCTGTCTTCAAGGCGCGTTACGTTGCACGAGGCTTCACTCAGCGAGAGGGAGTTGAATTGTTCCAGACCTTCTCCCCGACCACGAAGATGACCACTCTTCGGGTTCTGCTGCACGTCGCCGCTCTGCGTGACGACGAGCTCCACTCTCTTGACTTCAGCACTGCTTTCCTACAGGGCAGCCTGCACGAGGAGATCTGGCTGCGCCGCCCACCTGGCTTCACTGGGTTGTTCCCTCCTGGTACCCAGTGGAGCCTCCGACGGCCAGTCTACGGTCTCCGCCAGGCGCCACGTGAGTGGCATGACGCACTGAGGACTACACTTTCGGCTCTTGGGTTCGCGCCTTCTACTGCTGACCCGTCGCTGTTTCTACGCACCGACACCTCACTGCCGCCGTTCTACATCCTCGTGTACGTCGACGACTTGGTCTTTGCCACTGCTGACACTGCGGCACTCGCCCACGTGAAGTCGGAGCTGCAGAAGAGACACATGTGCACAGACTTGGGTGAACTGACAAGCTATTTTGGCTTGCGGATCACCCGGGACAGAGCACGCCGCACCATCACCTTGACTCAGTCACACATGGTGCAGCAGGTCCTTCAGCGCTTCCGCTTCACGTACTCCTCGCCTCAGCCCACTCCTCTGCCTACCGGTCACTCGCTCTCAGTTTGCCTTCAGATGAGTCCGTAGAGCCGAGTGGCCCGTATCCTGAGCTTGTGGGTTGCCTCATGTACCTGATAACCTGCACTCGACCTGACCTTGCATACCCTCTTAGCATTCTTGCACGCTATGTCGCTCCCGGCCGTCACCGGAAGGAGCACATGGATGCAGCTAAGAGGGTGTTGCGCTACTTGTGCAGTACGTCGGGCATGGGGCTAGTGCTTGGAGGGCTAGACCCACTTGTTCTCACTGGGCTCTCAGACGCTTCTTGGGCAGACGACTAGGATACTCAGCGGTCGTCTCAGGGTTACACCTCCAGTCTTGGCTCTGGTTCAGTTTCTTGGCGTTCTACTCGCTCTTCTTCTGTTCTCAGCTCCAGTTGTGAGGCTGAGATCTACGCCACAGCCATGGCGGCCCAGGAGCTACGCTGGCTCACCTACTTGCTGACCGACCTTGGAGAGCGGCCTCGTTCTCCTCCAGTGCTGTACGTCGACAACAAGGCAGCCATTGCCTTGTGTCAGGAGCACAGACTGGAGCACAGAACGAAGCACATTGCTCTGCGCTACTTCCTTGCTCGAGAGCTGCAGCAGCGTGGTTAGCTTTGTCTGCGTTACGTGGCCTCTGAGGGCAACACTGCTGATGTGTTCACCAAGGCGCTTCAGCCTTGTGACCATAAGCGCTTTTGCACTCTTCTAGGCCTTGTGCCTACTGGACCTCACTTGCTTACTTCTTGAGTCTGTTTGTACTGTGATCTCTATATATATATACCTGCATGTTTACTCTTGCTAGGCTGTGATCTTTGTACCTCTTGTTCTATTATAAACCTGCATGTGAACATGTCTTGTGACCACTTGCTTGTGCTCGGAATTTGTGTGGTATCCTTGAGATCCACCTTGAGCTCGTTTTGCCTTGCTTTGCCTTGACTAGTCTTGTGACCACTAGTTCTCCCCCACTTCGCCTATGGGGGTGTGTCCAACATTATATATGTTGTGCTTGTTTAGGCTACAGTGGGTTAGCCTATAGGGGGTACACAATTCTAGGGTTAGGTACTTGTACTGATTTCACTGTTAGTTCAATCATTCATGTTCGTTCATTTCAACACCCCCAGGATGCCGCAGCGGGCGACGAGACAGGACAGCGCGCGGGCCCCGGGGCGCTGCGTCGGGCGACGAAACCGCGGCGCGCGCCCGGGGCGCGCGGCTGGCAGGAAATCGCCACGCGCTCGCCGCGCGCTAACGCTACGCGCGCAGGGCGCGCGGCAGGCAGAAGATATCGTGCGCGCGAGGCGCGCGACAGGTAGCACAGCAGTGGAAGCAGGTGGGCTCACAGCCCAGGAGCGATCTCACTCTGATAGCATGTTAAGATAGTAGGCAAAATGTTAGAACACGAAAGAGGATTTTCACTAGCAAGCTGTGGGATACATATAGCAAACCCTAGTTGGGCTGTACTCACTATAGAGTACCCCAGTGTAGACTAGACAAATAATACATTCTGACAAGCTCCTCGATCGCTTTGAGAAGAACCACTCAGGAAAAGTTGGACGTAAATATTGTCAACGTATGGATGTAAGAACGGGCTATGTTTTAGAAGGCCTAGGCTCAGAAGCCTAGGTGAAACGGGAGTCGAGAGAATTGTGGCAAGGAGAAGTGAGAATGGTTGGGTTTCACTATAGCACACAAGATACATATACCAAAATAGCAAAGTTGCACCACCAAACAAGCAATTAAATAACTACATTACAATTAACTACAAACGGTTATATAAACTATGTAAAGTATAGCTTGACAATTATTTCTTACTAAGTTACTTTATTCCTCGGGCTCAGCATCTACCAATCTGCCGAGAGCATCTATTTCTCCGCCGCTAAGTACACCGAGACACTCGCTAAAAGGTCCGAGATCGCCCCCATCAACCTATCGTGCTTGATGGATCCTCCATTTTTTCCAGCATCGGGCTTGCCTTCACTTCTGAGATTTTGGATTGTATGTGGTGCTACAGCAATGATTCCGTACACAGGGGAAATCAGGGTAGTTACACCATGGTATCCCGGCTACCAGCAAATTCGCATGCAGTTTTGCAGCGGAATCGGGTCGTGGTGGAGTGCATATATCGGACGGACGATGTTCGTACTGCTTGAAAGCACGAAGATCTGTCCGTTGCCTGCTCTTGACGGATTCCGAGGCGCACTCTCATGGCTCGCCGGAATCTCCCAAAACGCGATGATCGCAGCCCGTCCACTGTCCCCACCACCTTGACTTCTCTTGCCACATTGGCAAGAAAGGCTTTGCGTTGGCCCCCCCTCACTTCGATCTCACTTGCGTTACCTAGAGCATTGCCTCACCACCACCACTGGTCCACCGCCAGTGCAGCGCTCGGAGCCGCATTGCGCAACCCAGCAAATGTACATTTTGCAGTTGTTGCGCAGCCTGTTCTGTCCGGCCCGTCAAACGACATTTTTATACTGCCCCCGAATCCCCACCAACCAGCATGTCTACCACCCCACCACCAGCATCAACAACACATTCCCCACATCTGCCTTGGCTCGCATGTGCAAATTCGTGGGTGACAGTGGATGGTGTTTCTACGTTTACAGTTCATATATAACAGTTCGGAGCGGTGAATCGCGGTTGAAAAAGGTGAAGCCAATCAGCCGCTTTAGAAAGCACAACATCGTACTGAACCGCAACGCTGAGCATAAATGTTCCAGCTCAGACCCGCCCTAAGGCCTCTGGGAAATTCCTATCTTGGAGACTGTGAAGTGAAGGTTCTGTGTTGGAAAAAAGCACATGATGCAATACCACTACGCAACGCATCGAGAAAAACAGCTGTATGCTGTTGGTACGCGACGACGACACTTGGAGGCTAGAAATACAGAGTAGGTGACAAGACCAGCTAGCTTTGCGCGCCTCGTCGTCACTCATCAGATCCCACTCTATCTTGTCCGAATCACCAGCTTGACCATCTCGATTCGAGACTACACATTCTGCTTTAGTAATTGTTTCATCAAGCGCCTAGTGCTCCTCCTACCCTCGTTCGGTTTCCTCGCCTTTCACTACTGCTGCTCCTCATTCTGCCCTTCCAGATTCCCGTGCTCGCCGTTTCCATCATCGACGTATTACACCAAATTCCACTCGCTGTGAGCAGCATTCGCTCCCCGTGAACAGCTAGATCCGGCGATTATCACCGTGATAATCACGGTGGACGAGGCTTCTCTGGTAAATTCAGGGCATCGGCGCCATTCGCTTGTACCACGAGTAGCAGCTCGTTCTCAGCCGCTGTGCCAACTGAGACGGGGTGAACGGATTGTTTCGCGTCATAGCCTAAAAAGGCCCTCTGCCGCCCTCTTCCGAGCGGTCCGTTGCGGAAGGACCGATCTCTCCGCACAACATGAACTACAGACTTCTCCAAGCAGATATGACTCCTACAGAGTGTTGTAATAAACGCCTTACCTCCCGAAATCTCCTCGTCCTTTCCGTCCTACTCCTATCCGCCGCGATTCCCGCCGCGGTTTCCGCCACGAAGGTTCTCTCTGCAACTGCAGCTGCCCAAGCACAGCCCACGACAACTACATATGGAACATCCGAATTTCAGCCAACCGGATTTGTGCGCGTGTATCCAACTTCCGGAAGCTTCCGCGACTCCTACTTCTCAAGGAACGCGATTGGCGACACGGGGAGCAACGATACGTTGACGTCATCACATGCGACATCCACGGTTAGCCGCGCCGCAGAATTGACGCGCCGGCGGCAGCGGCGCGGGGGACGGCAGCGACAAACTCCGTTGCGGGGAGATGGATCTGGGCATTGGTGGAGGGTACATTCAGGAAGTCCCGGAATGAGTTACCACGGAGGACCTGTAATGAGTTCGCCTATTAACGTGTACGTCGTGTTCTACGGGTCGTGGAGTCGCGAGGACCGCCGAGCTGTTAACACATTCGTGCAATCGATTTCGGACAACTCGGGTAACAGTGTCGCGAGCGTGCGAAGATGGTGGCGAACCACCAGCTTGTACACTGGCAGAGGCGGCGTTGCAGTAACGTCGCAGGTGCGGCTTGCGAAATCCGCGGTGGACAGATATTCGCAGGGGAAGATGATACGGGACGACATGAACGGCGTGTGGCAAGGTACGCGGAACAGTTTTTAGTATTTGGCAAGAGATATGGATGTACGGATTTCGCAGAATATAACAAAAAAAGGCTTTCAAATACATGTGAGGCTGTACTATGAGCATTATGCACAAGGCTGCTTTGATGCTACAGCAATAAACTTTCTGACCATCCATTTCGGATGAATGATTTCGTCCTTACCCTACTCTGTCCCTCGCAGTTATTCGCAGGCAGATTGATTCGGGTAACTTTCCCATCGATGCTTCTGCGATTTACGTCGTCTTAACGAGTCCGGACGTGCGATTGGGCGACAGATCCCAAGGCTTCTGCGGGCCGCAAGGGTACTGCGGGTGGCACTCGACCGCATCCAATGGGCGGAGCGAGCTGAAAGTGATTCACGTGGGGAACGGGGGACAGCAATGTCCTCAATACTGTGTACCTTCTTACAATACACGGTAAGAGGAATGAATTCGGTGAAGGGTGGTGTTTTGCAGCACGCAACGGGGAGTGTTTCGAGGCTTTGGAAGAAAGGCATTGACAATGGCCTTGAGTCTCCACGTGGCAGGTCAGCGCGACCACCACCTTCCCCACCCACTCCCCACCCTCTCCCTCTGCCGTCACCACCCCCTCCACTCCCCACTCCCCCCCTTCCTCCCCCTCACATCCCCCCCCTCCCCTCAACCCATCGTTATGCTTAAGTGGGGTACGGGATCACATCACATGCGTTGGATGTCTGTTCGTGTCTGTTGTCTGGGATGCTGCTATGACGTTATTATTTCGAACCGCCACTGTGATTGTAGCAATGTTTATCCCGGTTCCTTCTATTTTCTGTTCGTTCTCCCCATTAGCTTCAGCACATCACCAAACAGCCATCCAGGTGTGGATGGCGTAATCAACACGTTAGTGCATGAGATGGCTGAGACGGCCACCCAACCCCTTACACCTTCAAATGTTACGTTACCATGCGCATATCTGGTTTCTGCTCTCTTTTTTTTCCTCCCTCCACTTTCACTGTAGGTCATCGCCAAACAGCCATCCGGGTGTGGATGGGCTGATCAACACTTTAGCCCATGAAATGGCTGAGACGGCAACAAACCCGCTTATAGACAATGGCTGGTTCGATATAAGCACTTTAGAGGAGATTGCGGACAAGTGCGCACGGCTGTACGGACAGAAGGGCAAGGATGTGGTTGTATCGCAACAGGGATACGCTTATAACGTGCTGGGAAAAGCAGGGTCACACTATCTGTTACAACAGGTGAGCAACTGGCGTTCTATTTCTGTCCAGAGGTTGTCAGCGTGACAGGGGACAGGATATGAGGGTGAGGTGCGCAGGAAGGGAGGTGGCTTGTGGAAAAGGAGGTGGCTTGTGGAAAAGGAGGTGGCTTGGATTAATAGGGTGGCTTGGGGGACTAGGGAGGTGAGTTAGAGATATGTTGTAACAGGTGGGTGGAGGGGATAAGGAGGTGGGTGTTGGAGTTAGGGGGATGGGTGGGTGGGTGGTGGCAGACTTTGGGGATGAGGGTGGCATGCGTTTCTGTTCCAATGACAACCCATGTGATAAGGTATACCTGTGCCTCTCATGCCACAACCTTTTGAGTCAACTCAAAAGTCAACCCATGTGATAAGGTATACCTGTGCCTCTCATGCCCCAACCTTTGAGTCAACTCAAAAGTCAACCCATGTGATAAGGTATACCTGTGCCTCTCATGCCACAACCTTTTGAGTCAACTCAAAAGTCAACCCATGTGTAAGGTATACATGTGCCTGTACTCATGCCACAACCTTTTGAGTCAACTCAAAAGTCAACCCATGTGATAAGGTATACATGTGCCTGTACTCATGCCACAACCTTTTGAGTCAACTCGAAAGTCAACCCATGTGATAAGGTATACATGTGCCTGTACTCATGCCACAACCTTTTGAGTCAACTCGAAAGTCAACCCATGTGATAAGGTATACCTGTGCCTGTACTCATGCCACAAACTCCCTGTAGACAATTCCTCCCTGTGCGACTCCCTGTAGACAATTTCTCCCTGTGCGACTCCCTGTAGACAATTTCTCCCTGTGCGACTCCCTGTAAACGCCCCAGTATGCAGCTGTGCAGCCGCACTTCTCCCCAAACGTGGCCACGTGACATGAGTGACATTTTGAGACGTCTCAAAAAAGGCTTCAACTCCGCCCTCCCTGCCTCGCCCCTCCTTCCCGTGTGTTCACATGCAGCTATGGAGCCGCACTTCTCCCCAAAAGTGTGTCGTGCTGGGCCCAGCCTGAACAACCATGCAGCCGTGCATCGTTTTGCACCGCGTCCAGTCTGGATGTGTGTACTGTAGCGTACTGGTACTGTGGATTGTGTTTCACATGCAGCTGTGGAGCCGCACTTCTCCCCAAAAGTGTGTCGTGCTGGGCCCAGCCTGAACAAGCATGCCACCTCTATGTATCAGGTCACCTAGCGTGATAAGTGCCGGTATGTCTAGGTCACCTAGCGTGATAAGTGCCGGTATGTCTAGGTCACCTAGCGTGATAAGTGCCGGTATGTCTAGGTCACCTAGCGTGATAAGTGTGAGCTCCACTGAGTCTGCTTGGTTACGGTGGGTGGGTGGGTGTGTTAGGGAATAAGCTGCATAACAGAACAGATGACGAGGTGCTGTCATTACATAATAGATGAATAATAGCAAACAGGTGGGCTGCATAATAGATGGAGAGCATTGCGCCCGCAGGAGCCGGTGCCCACTTGTTGTCGCGTTTCCATGAACCTGTGAAGTGTGTTTCTCCCCAAAGGTGCGCCGTGCTGGGTCCGGCCTGGAAGACCATGCCATGCCATGATGGCATCATGGCACCCACCCACCCCTGTGTGTCATATTTGCATTGTGCATACCGGTACCCCTAGGTCACCATCCGTGTTCTTTAACAATACAAATGAAGAGCAGTAGTGTGGGTGCCAATCCACCCACGAGAGTCAGTCGGTGCCTATTTGGGGTACCGTACCATATGAGGTATGCTTATTTTGTTTATGTGTATCCAAACGTACTGTTTGTTCTCTTGAGAAACACACTTGTGCAGTAACATGACAACAATGATAAACCACTGAATCAAAATCAAGAACGTATAATAGCAGCAGACAACCATCCAGCATACAATACATACACCGGCTGTTTCAACTAGAGCAGAGTACCACCTACAGTACAAAATGAAATGAATTTTAAATCTGCAGCCTCGGAGCAAGGGCCCCTCCCCGAGAGAACATAGTGCAGAGCAACGGCCCTCTCACCCCAGGATGAGAGCAGAGCAACAGCCCTCTCACCCCAGGATGAGAGCAGAGCAACAGCCCTCTCACCCCAGGATGAGAGCAGAGCAACAGCCCTCTCACCCCAGGATGAGAGCAGAGCAACAGCCCTCTCACCCCAGGATGAGAGCAGAGCAACGGCCCTCCCTAAAACTCCAACCCAGTTCCCAACTCAAGATAATGCAGAATCCAGCCTTCGTCACCCTCAGTGCGAAACCCTAGGCGATCTTCGCAAGCAGTCCCGAAACGCGCCCTCGCACTGGAATCCCAAACCGAAAGTACATATCCGGGCAGCCCAGCATGTTCCAATCCGTCCACATGTAGTCTTTCTTGCTGAAGTAGCTCCGACGGCCCGTGAAAATCGACGGCTCAAGAATGTGCGTTGTTTTCACGAGAGTGTCGACGCAAATCTCAGCTGGAACATCGGTTGTGTCTTCGGTCCCAGTCTCGCCAGATCCATCGGTAGCTTCGGGAGCTCCGGACGAAGGCGGTGCAACGTAGTCCGGGTTTGGAGTGCAGGTTGGGACATATTCCTGCTTGAGCGTCCAGTTGGTTCCGCTGTTGAGGTAGTAAAGGTGACCGTTGGAAAAAACCATGAAGAATTTCGGCGGATCCGTGACTGTCAGGGCGTTGTCGGCCATCTCGAGGGTCGCCTGAAAGCTGAGTACGTAGTCCGAAGGTTTCTTGGAGCGCAACGGGTTTCTGCAGGGAATGAGGACGGAGGAGAGAGAAAGAGGAGGGTTGTGAGGGTATGCTCTCGTCCATCTCGATAGCTCGCCTGAAAGCTGATTATGTAGTCGGAATATTTCTTGGAGCGCTTAGGATTTCTGCAGGAACAAGGACGGAGGGAGAACAGAGGGTTGTTGTGAGGGTATGGTTTCAGCCATCTCGATACTCGCCTCAAAGCTGAGTATGTAGTCCGAAGGTTTCTTGGAGCGCAACGGGTTTCTGCAGGGAATGAGGACGGAGGAGAGAGAAAGAGGGGGGTTGTGAGGGAATGTTCCAGTCCCTCTCGATGACGGAATCAAAGCCGATCAGGTAACCCATTGCGCGTGGGGTTCCTGCAGGGGGGAAGAGGAGAGAGAGAGTAGGGTAAGAGCGGTAAGGAGGGTACAGGAGTGGTAAGGAGAACACCCGAGCGGTAAGGAGAACACCCGAGCGGTAAGGAGAACACCCGAGCGGTAAGGAGAACACCCGAGCGTAAGGAGAACACCCGAGCGGTAAGGAGAACACCCGAGCGGTAAGGAGAACACCCGAGCGGTAAGGAGAACACCCGAGCGGTAAGGAGAACACCCGAGCGGTTAGGAGAACACCCGAGTGGTAAGGAGAACACCCGAGAATACGGAGAACACCCGAGAATACGGAGAACACCCGAGAATACGGAGAACACCCGAGAATACGGAGAACACCCGAGAATACGGAGAACACCCGAGAATACGGAGAACACCCGAGAATACGGAGAACACCCGAGAATACGGAGAACACCCGAGAATACGGAGAACACCCGAGAATACGGAGAACACCTGAGAATACGGAGAACACCCGAGAATACGGAGAACACCCGAGAATACGGAGAACACCCGAGAACACGGAGAACACCCGAGAACACCCGAGAACACGGAGAACACCCGAGAACACGGAGAACACCCGAGAATACGGAGAACACCCGAGAATACGGAGAACACCCGAGAATACGGAGAACACCCGAGAATACGGAGAACACCCGAGAATACGGAGAACACCCGAGAATACGGAGAACACCCGAGCATACGGAGAACACCCGAGAATACGGAGAACACCCGAGAATACGGAGAACACCCGAGAATACGGAGAACACCCGAGAATACGGAGAACACCCGAGAACACGGAGAACACCCGAGAACACGAAGAACACCCGAGAACACGGAGAACACCCGAGAATACGGAGAACACCCGAGAATACGGAGAACACCCGAGAATACGGAGAACACCCGAGAATACGGAGAACACCCGAGAATACGGAGAACACCCGAGAATACGGAGAACACCCGAGAATACGGAGAACACCCGAGAATACGGAGAACACCCGAGAATACGGAGAACACCCGAGAACACCCGAGAATACGGAGAACACCCGAGAATACGGAGAACACCCGAGAATACGGAGAACACCCGAGAATACGGAGAACACCCGAGAATACGGAGAACACCCGAGAATACGGAGAACACCCGAGAATACGGAGAACACCCGAGAATACGGAGAACACCCGAGAATACGGAGAACACTAGAGTGTAAGAAGATTGCACGAAGTGGCAGTCGGTAGGAGACATCATGAGACAGAGAGGCACGAAGTTACATGAGGTCACAGTAAGCAAGAAGCATACGCACGAAGAGCAGTACAAAAGAACTGTTCGCATAACGATACACGAAGACACAGAAAACCAGAGCCACACACATGAAGACGACTCACTGTTCAACGGCAGAAGCACTCCTTCCAACACGCCTCAAAAGAAGACATAACGATACATGAAGACACAGTAAACCAGAGCGGGGCGCATGAAAACGACTCACGAGACGTTCAACGACAGAACAAGACTGGTCACATTTGTGCCGGTTGTAGTGAGCGCGTACTGACCTGCCAAAGCGAGGAAAGGTGGGAGGCAAGGGAGAAGGCGAGAGAGGTCAAGGGAGCAGAGAGAGGAAGCCCGGATGAATGGGAGGGCAACACGGAAGGGGAGGAAAAGGAAGGGAGGAGGGAAGAGCTCTAGTCATGTTTGTGCCAGTTGAGTGACGGGCGCACCAGCCAGCCACAGTGAGGACATGTGGCAGACAAGGGGTAAGGTGCGGAAGGCAAAGGGCCAGGTGCGGAAGGCAAAGGGCCAAGGCAAAGGGCCAGGTGCGGAAGGCAAAGGGCCAGGTGCGGAAGGCAAAGGGTCAGGTGCGGAAGGCAAAGGGCCAGGTGCGGAAGGCAAAGGGCCAGGTGCGGAAGGCAAAGGGCCAGGTGCGGAAGGCAAAGGGCCAGGTGCGGAAGGCAAAGGGCCACGTGCGGAAGGCAAAGGGCCAGGTGCGGAAGGCAAAGGGCCACGTGCGGAAGGCAAAGGGCCAGGTGCGCTTCACCGCGTACACTTTTGGGTCGGCGGAGATTCAGGCGCGGGAGAGAGCGGATGGGAAGCGCGATATTCGCACACGGGTTTGCGCGGACTCAGCGGATGCGGACGCAGCGCATGCGAGCAAAAAAAACCCATCCACTTGCACGTTGTATCGAGTCATCTCTTACCGACGAGGTCTTTCAGAATTTTAAGCTCGCGGCGGGGAGTCTCGGCACGGGGCTCCGCGGGTAACGAGGCGAAAATGGCGACGACTGCGGAGGAGATACGGGGGGAAAAGGGAGGGCGAGAGAAATGAGAAAAATAGAAAGCAAACAAACCATGCAGAAAGTTCGACATGATGCCAAGCATTATTTGGACCCTGGTCGCGGGGAAGTGCGGTAAGAGTAGCGGCAACTGCGCAGAACGACTTGCGCAAAGAGAGGAAGACGGAGAGAGAAAGCTCCCGGAACCTTAAACCGTGCCAGTCGAAACCCATCACTAACACGGCTCAGTAGGAATGAGTAGTTGAGGAAACGACAGGTCATCCAGTGGACAGATAGGAAGTGAGTGGGCGGACGACAGTGACTGATTTGATAGAGGATGCGCCGGAAAAAAAGGGGATGCGCCGCAAGAAAGTAAGTGGTTTGAATTCGATCCTTCGTATCTCGACCGTCGCTGTTTCACCCGCAAAACAGAGTCCAATTCACGCCTAGACTGTCTTTACTGAAAGGAGTCCTTGACTTCGGAGTCTTTGACTTCTGAGGGGAGGCCCAAGTCACCTCTGATAGGATTGATTCAGAACGCCTACACTTTCTCCACATCACAACATGCCATACCAATAACGCCTCGCCGGGCGACTGCCGGGCGACTATCTATCGGCTATGTTCCTCTAACGGCTACTCGGAATAACAACGACGGTCCACGGTGGAGCCGTGGAAACGCGAGTCTAGGAACCGCATGTTTCTGCATCCCAGCTTAAATCAGTAACGCGAAGCAGCAGCCTTAATTCGAGCTACTGCTAGCATACACGCGGCCATGCTAACTCACGTAGGAGCAGCTGGACGGCTGTTGTTAGCCGAAGAGAAGCCATGGATTCCTGGACGGATACGACGACGGGCGCAGCGGCTAGCCTGGGTTCAATCTGGTGGAGAAAGATTAAGAGTCTGAACGGAGATTGGAAACGCCTGCTGTAGGACGGGTACGTAATGGTGGCCAATATGGTAGGTAGGTTCTAGAAAGCTGTGAAGTCTAAACCTATTGAATGTCTGGAAGGACACTAGGGTCTTGGTTGTGGTGCTCGGAGAGTGGGAGAGTGTCTCCACAAAACATCATGTGGCTTCTGATCTGTCTGGTCTGGGATGTTTTTGTTGAAGCCATGTCCTGAACACATCTCAACCTAAACTGTACTAAACCGTTCTATCTGTTTATCAAATAGCTACAAAACGTACTCAACCAAAATTAAACGTTAACACTTCATGGGTCCAGTTCCTTGCTCCTCCCATAGCAGCGGAGGTGGGAGGGAAGGGAGGGTGGGAGAGGACGACAACGAAAGCTGGTTCTCAGTGGTCAGTTGCGACACCAACAACTGTAATTCACGTTTTCATTTCGTGTGGACGTCTAGATTATGGGTGTGCTCCAAAACTGAGGTCAATAGGTTTCAAAGCCCTTTCGTTATAATCCGGGATCTCTATGTTTAATAAGTAAACGAGGAAGTAGACACGGCTAGATCCTGCTAAAGCCTCCCGTGGGGTAGCGCATCCAACAACGACCGACTACGCATTCTTTCGAAAGAGTTGGTTGGGCGGTTTTGAAAGGAAATTGGCTTTCACCCTGAGAGAACCCCGTCTGGTGTACGTAGTCCAGAACTTCGAAACGCGTGAATGTTGTTCCATAATACTGTAGCATAATCGACGAAGCGCTGATGCAGCTGGTCACTTGCAGATTCCTCTGGTCCATACACCAGGTGTGTTTTCAGGTGATCAGCGCTCACAGAACTGGAGGACGTTAGACACTGTACAGTACCGCGAAGGAACATCAACAAATGGCGAAAGAACATGCGAGCTCGACGCATTCCTGGATGTGATTCCCGACACCCTCAGACGAAGAGGTTCCCCAGGAAAGAAGTTGAACCACGAAGCTTCAGGCGAGGAATCAGGGTAACCACGTCTCGCCAGTGTTGCAGGCTGTTCGCGCTTGTAACAAGAAGTGAAACGTATAGCACAACCTTAAGCCAAGGCAATGTAAATGCAGCAAAAGTGCATTTTCACCTAATCTGCAGGTGACTAGGCTTTCCCTGAAATTTCCTTACAAAAGTAGGTGGCTTGTTAAGAAAAATGCCAACATCCCACTCACAGCCCCACCTACTGCCTGCCCATGCTGCTCATTCCCTCCCTCTATGCTCCCTCACTCGCTTGGTAGAGTGGGGCAGTCAATGCTGCCTAAATACTCTAGTCTGCCTTCTTCTCACCTGCTTCACCACCCTCCTCCTTGGGTGCTTCCCAGCCCTTCCAAAACGCATCCAACACACTCTCCTTGCTCCCATACAAAACTTTGGAACCACAACGTTCCCCTCCTGCCTACTCTGCTTTCTTCTGCGCTGCAATGCTCCCCCCTCCTCCCTACTCCGCCTTCTTTTCACCTGCAACGCTCCCATCCTCCCCGGGTGCTTCCCAGCCCTTCCCAGCCACCAGATCCCGCCTCTGCCGGTGCTCAGCCACCTTATAATCCACCACTTCTAGAAACAACTGCGCATCCAACACACTCTCCTTGCTCCCGTACACAGCCCCCCGCACACTCGCCATAAACTTCGCAATCTCACGGCCCGAAAACCCCTCCATCTTCCTCGCAGCATCCCTCAAAACATCCTCCGAAATCCCTTTCACCTCAATCTTCTCCTGTTTCCGGAACGCTGCGGCGATCCCGCCGCCGCCCCGCTTCCACCACTTCCTGCCGTCCTGCGAGTTTGTCACGTAGCGGTGGAGGTACAGCTGGAGAAGGCGGAACCGCTCCTCCTCCCTCGGCAGCGGAAACTCCATCATTTCGTCGATTCGGTCCGTGACTGCGCTATCCAGATCCTCGGGTCTGTTTGTAGCGAGTACAAGCACGATGTCGCGCGATTGGTCGCCCGTTCGGAAGAGCATGGCGTTCAGGGCGGAGCGTTGGGCCTCACTCATGGTGATCTTGTTGCGCCTGGTGGGCGAGGCATGCACAGAGGGAGGGAGGGAGGGAGTGAGGGAGGGAGGGAGGGAGGGAGTGAGGGAGGGAGGGAGGGAGGGAGTGAGGGAGGGAGGGAGGGAGGGAGTGAGGGAGGGAGGGAGAGAGGGAGGGAGTGAGGGAGGGAGGGAGGGAGGGAGTGAGGGAGGGAGGGAGGGAGGGAGGGAGTGAGGGAGGGAGGGAGGGAGGGAGGGAGGGAGGGAGGGAGTGAGGGAGGGAGGGAGGGAGGGAGGGAGTGAGGGAGGGAGGGAGGGAGGGAGGGAGGGAGGGAGGGAGGGAGGGAGGGAGGGAGGGAGGGAGGGAGGGAGGGAGGGAGGGAGACACACACTCATATGCAGCAGCAAGTAAAAGGGAAGCAACACCAAATGGGTGTCACAGGATTGGTCGCCCGTGCGGAAGAGCATGGCGTTGAGGGCGGAGCGCTGCGCCTCACTCATGGTGATCTTGTTGCGCCTGGTGGGTGGAAAAGGGATGTATGGTAGGAATTGAGATATGGAAGTTGGATGATGTCGGATGGGTGGTGAGAGCTCTCCAGCCCCCCACGAAGCCAAGGTGTCCAAATGCAATTCCATCTCATGCCATCCATGCCATCACATGCAATTCTATCCCATGCCATAGCATGCCATGCCGTGTCATGTCATGTCATGTCATGCCAACTCATGCCATGGCGTATAATCTCATGCGAAATCATGCTGTGCCTTGCCATGCCATACCATGGCATGTCAAGCCAAGGAATGCCGCCCGCCCCTCACTTGCACAGAAAGGCGTCCGCCTCATCAATGAACAGTAGCAGCCCACGCTTGGTGTGCGCCGCCCAGTCAGATATGCAATGACATGTCAAGACAGAAATTGCCGCCCACTACTCACTTGCACAAGAGAGCGTCCGCCTCATCGATGAACAGTAGCAGCCCGCACTTTGTGTGTGCCGCCAGTCAAACAAGCCATTCCATGTCAAGCCAAAAGATGCCGCCCAGTACTTACTCGCACAAGAAGGCGTCCGCCTCGTCGATGAACAGTAGCAGCCCGCGCTTGGTGTGCGCCGCCCAGTCAAACATCTGATGAATCTTGGTCACAGCCTGCGGCCCTAGAGGCGCCACGTCTCCTCCTGTCATCAACGCATAATCCAGCCCCTGAGAGGGAAGTGTGAGGAAAGGAAAAGGCAGAGAGAGGAGCAGTGGGTAACAAGAATAATACATATAGGAAAAGAGCATGTTTCTGACCGAGCATGTTTCTGACCGAGCATGTTTGTGACCAAGCATGTTTTTGGCGACTTTTGAGGCTCCTTTTTGGCGACTTTTGAGGCTCCTATTTGGAGACTTTTGAGGTGGCTTTTGAAAGTAGAGCATGTTTTTGGCGACTTTTGAGGCGCATCAGAAAGTAGAGCATGTTTTTGAACGTGTGTGCCATGGCGCCTAATGTTGGTGGAGGCAGCAACATAATTTCCAAACCTCAAACCCTACGTGAACCCCATACTTTTGAACGTGGCGCCATGGCTCTTAATGTTGGTGGAGGCGGCAGCATAATTTCCAATCCCTAGGCCTTATCCCTGACTCCTACCACAACGCACCGGTTGCCTTGCGAGCTCTTTAGCCGCGATGGTTTTGCCAGTCCCTGGCGGCCCAAAGAAGAGCATGTTCCGAAACGGTGCGCCGTGGCGCTTGGTGTTGGCCGTGGCAGCAGCGAGCTGTCGAGCCCCAAACCTTAAACCCTTGAAACCCTACCCCTAACCCAAACCATAAAACATGCCCACCGATTGCCGGGCGAGCCCTTAAGCAGCCATGGTCTTGCCAGTGCCAGGGGGCCCGGGGGCCATGGCGCTTGGTGTTGGCCGTGGCAGCAGTGAGCTGTCTAGAACCAGCCTTTAACCCCGTAACCCCAACCCAAACCTCGAAACACTAACCTTTACCCTGCGCCCTGCACCCTAACCCCAACCGCCCTTCCAACAACTCACCTATTGCCTTGCGAGCTCTTTAGCAGCCATGGTCTTGCCAGGGCCAGGCGGACCGAAAAAGAGCATATTTCGGAATGACGCGCCATGGCGCTTGGTGTTGGCCGTGGTGGCAGCGAGCTGTCTCAACCCCAGATACTGAACTCTAAACCCAAACCCTCTCCACCACCCACCGATTGCCTTGCGAGCTCTTTAGCAGCCATGGTCTTGCCAGTGCCAGGGGGACCAAAAAAGAGCATGTTTCTGAACGGCGCGCCGTGGCGCTTGGTGTTGGCCGTGGCAGCAGCGAGCTGGCGAATGCGGTGGTGCAGCGATGGGTGCAGAATCACATCGCCAAACCCTCGACCTGATTTCATCAGAGCTGAGGCCGCTGCTCCTCCTGCTCCTGCTGCTGCTGCCTCTGCTGTTACTGCTCCTGTGGTGGGGATGGGCAGGGAAGAAAGAGAAGGGTGTCGGGTGGTGCAGCAACGGGTGCAGAATCACATCACCAAAGCCTCGACCCGACGGGTGCAGAGCCGGCGCTGCTGCTCCGCCCGCTCCTGCTGCTGCAGCTTCAGCTGTTACTGCCCCTGGAAAAGAGGGAGGGGGGAGAGCAGACGAAGGTGGGGAAGGGGAGGGGAGAGAGGAGGGGTAGAGGAGGTGAGAGCAGTGGGCAGGAGGAGGGAGAACGAGGCGCTCCGTGGCGATTGGTATTGGCCGTGGCGGCAGCGAGCTGGCGAATGCGGTGGTGCAGTGCAGCAACGGGTGCAGAATCACATCGCCAAACCCGCGGCCCATGTCCATCAGGGCTGAGGCTGCTGCTCCCCCAGCCCCTGCCGCTGCTGCTTCAGCCGTTACTGCTCCTGTGGTAGGAGAAGAAAAGCAGAGGAGGGCAGGCCAGAAGAGAGGAGGAGTGTTTGAGATGTCGAAAAAAACGTGTTTTGAGACGTCTCAAAACCTGAAGCTTCAGCCGTTACTGCTCCTGTGGTAGGAGAAGAAAAGCAGAGGAGGACAGGCGAGAAGAGAGGAGGAGCAGAGGAGGTGAGAGCAGTGAGCAGCAGGAGAGAAAACGAGGCACACGGTGGCGCTTGGTGTTAGAGAGAGTAGTGAACAGTGAGCAGGAGGAGGGAGGGCGAAGTACGCCGTAGTGCCTTTAGATTCGACTCAGAAGTCACTCTGTGTTGGCGGTGAGAGCAGTGGACAGTGAGCAGGAGGAGGGAGGGGGAAGCATGCCACCAGCCCCCCGCCCGCGATCAGGAGTAGGAGACTGTGGTCTGGACAATTGTTGGAAAAAAACCCTCCTTTTGAGGCGCCTCAAAAGTAGCCCCCGCGTTTAGGAGTAGGGGACTGTGGTCTGGACAATTGTTGGAAAGACCCCTCCTTCTCTCTACGTTCTACCAACTCACCGGCAGCAGCTGTTCCAGGAGTGGCAGCAGGAACGCGAGAGAAAGGAGCAGCTCGAGCAGAGGAGAGGCGCCTGAGGCTTCGCGACCAGGGGTAGGGGCCTCTTGACAGGGGGTGAACCCAACTCTCCCTCTCCCTCTAGGTGTTGACTCACCGGCAGCAGCAGTTCCAGTAGTGGCAGCAGGGACGCGTGAGAAGGGAGCAGCCAGAGCAGAGGAGAGGCGCCTGAGGCTCCTCAACGAGGGGTAGGGGGGCTCTGGAGAACTGCTGAGATCCTCCCTCCGTTTCCTCCACTAACCAGCAGCAGCACAACTCACCCGCAGCAGCACAACTCACCCGCAGCAGCACAGCTTACCAGCAGCAGCACAGCTTACCAGCAGCAGCACAGCTTACCAGCAGCAGCACAGCTTACCAGCAGCAGCACAGCTTACCAGCAGCAGCACAGCTTACCAGCAGCAGCACAGCTTACCAGCAGCAGCACAGCTTACCAGCAGCAGCACAACTAACCAGCAGCAGCACAGCTTACCAGCAGCAGCACAGCTTACCAGCAGCAGCACAGCTTACCAGCAGCAGCACAGCTTACCAGCAGCAGCACAACTAACCAGCAGCAGCACAGCTTACCAGCAGCAGCACAACTAATCAGCAGCAGCACAGCTTACCAGCAGCAGCACAACTCACCGGCAGCAGCAGTTCCGGGAGTGGCAGCAGGGACGCGGGAGAAGGGAGCAGCCAAAGCAGAGGAGAGGCGCCTGAGGCTGCGCGACCAGGGGTAGGGCCCCCTTGAGGACTCCCGCACGAGTGAAGGCTGTCCCAAGAGGCGATCAATGTAATGCCACACCACCCTCGCACCCTCCCTGTGATGGGATAGGTAGAAAGAGAAAAAAGGGACAGAGATGGCAGGAGTGGAGAAAAAGGGAGAGAGAGGCGCCTGAGGCTGTGCGACCAGGGGTAGGGTCCTCGTGATGCCTCCCTCACAAGAGATGTGACTTTTGAGTCGACTCAAAAGTCACCTCGCCTGAGGCTGCGCGACCAGGGGTAGGGTCCCCGTGATGCCTCCCTCACAAGAGATGGCTGCCCCAAGAGGCGGTCCATGTGATGCCACACCACCCTCGCACCCTCCCTGTTGTATAGTAGGGGAGTGAGGCAAGAGCGGCGAGAACGGGACATTGAGACGCCTGGGTCCCTGCGACTAGGGATGGGGACCCCTTGATGCCTCCCGCACAAGCGACGGCTGCCCCAAGAGACGATCGATGTAATGCCACACCACCCTCGCACCCTCCCTGTGTGATAGATAGTAGGGGAGGGAGAGGAGCAGGCAAGAGCAGGGAGAAGAAAGCAAGGAGCGAGGGCACAAGGGATTTTTGCCCCAAGAGGCGATCATTGTAACGCCACACCACCCTTGCACCCTCCCTGTGTGATAGATAGTAGGGGAGGGAGAGGAGCAGGCAATAGCAGGGAGAAGAAAGCAAGGAGCGAGGGCACAAGGGATGTTTGCCCCAAGAGGCGATCAATGTAACGCCACACCACCCTCGCACCCTCCCTGTGTGATAGATAGTAGGGGAGGGAGAGGAGCAGGCAAGAGCAGGGAGAAGAAAGCAAGGAGCGAGGGCACAAGGGATGTTTGCCCCAAGAGGCGATCAATGTAACGCCACACCACCCTCGCACCCTCCCTGTGTGATAGATAGTAGGGGAGGGAGAGGAGCAGGCAAGAGCAGGGAGAAGAAAGCAAGGAGCGAGGGCACAAGGGATGTTTGCCCCAAGAGGCGACCAATGTAATGCCCCACCACCCTCGCACCCTCCCTGCTGTGCAAATAAGACAGGGGGACAGGAGCAGGCAAGAGGGGAGGAACGAGGAAGCAAAGCAGGGTGGCGACAACAGCTGACCACCACCTGGTGGCGACAACAGCTGACCACCACCTGGTGGCGACAACAGCTGACCACCACCTGGTGGCGACAACAGCTGACCACCACCTGGTGGTCGCCAGCACCAGGTGAGCTGCTGGCATCTACACCACCATAACATGGTTGACTTTTAACACTCAATTGAGTAATTGGAATGCAGTGCAGCTCACCTGGTGGTATGAATGCCAGCAGCCAGTGCAGTGACTCCCGTCCCGCCACTGTCTGTCACCACCATCTTGCCTCACAATCATGGCACCTGGTTACCCTATGGTAACATTACTACCAACACCTTCGGCATGACAGCTCACCTGGTGGTGTAGATGCCAGCAGCCGGTGCAGTGACCCCAGCCACCGTCACCACCATCTTATCTTGTAATGGCAATGCCGCTTGTATGGACTGCTCGTCGTAACACCAGCACAACAGCACTTACAGGACGGTAGCTCACTTGGTGATGCCAGCAGCTCACCTGGTGGTGTAGATGCCAGCAGCCAGTGCAGTGACCCCTGCCACCAACACCACTATCTTATCAGGATAGTAGCTCACTTGGTGGCAGCAGCTCACCTGGTGGTGTAGATGCCAGCAGCCAGTGCAGTGACCCCAGTCACCAACACCACTATCTTATCAGGATAGTAGCTCACTTGGTGGCAGCAGCTCACCTGGTGGTGTAGATGCCAGCAGCCAGCGCAGTCACTCCAGCCACCGTCACCACCATTTTGTTCTGATCCGTCAGCAACGCTCTGATACCACCTGGGGTGTATGGAAAGAGAAACGGGGGATGCGAGACATAGGAGATGAGGAACAAGTGAGGTGGGGCGGAGTAGCAGCAACCACCGTCACCACCATCTTGTTCTGATCTGTCAGCAGCGCTCTGATACTACCTGGGGTATGGTGATGAGAGAAAGGAGAAACGGGGGGTGGGAGGAGAGAAGAGGTGCACGCGAGGGTTAGCACCAGCCAGGCACCGTCACCACCATCTTGTTCTGATCCGTGAACAGCGCTCTGATACCACCAGGGGCGTTGAGAGGAACGCTGGATGGGAGGTTGGGCGAGACCTGCAAGGTGGGTTAGGAAAAGGCTGAAGAATCACTTTTGAGGATTCTCAAAAGTTTTGAGAATTCTCAAAAGTGATACCACCTGGGGTGTTGAGAGGAACGCTGGATGGGAGGTTGGGCGAGACTAGCAAGGTGGGTCTAGCACAACCTCCCATCCTCCCGAGTGGGTCTATGACTCCTATGTATGGAAAAGGCTGAAGAACAACCGCACAGCAACCGCACGCGAGTTTTGAGTCGACTCAAAACTCACCCAAAAGGCTGAAGAACAACCGCACAGCAACCACACGCGAGACATAGGAGAAGAGGAACAAGTGAGGTGGGGCGGAGTAGCAGCAACCAGCACCACCATCTTGTTCTGATCCGTCAACAGCGCTCTGATACCACCTGGGGTATGGGGCATGGCATGGCATGGGACAGCACGGCATGAAATAAAATGGTATGCACATGAAGGAATAAATGTTAAGCTCCCTTGCAACCCACCTGGATACATTCACGCTTAGTGTAACCACCCTCACTACCTTCACTCTCCATACACTCTACCCCCAATGTGCCCAAACGTTGTGCTAATCGCGCTGATCCATTTCTCTGTCTCTGCTTTGCTCTTCTCCAGTACCAGCCGCCTGTTCACGTCCTCACCGAGCCGCGCCTCGTGCGCCCGTGCCTCTACCTTCCACGCACTGACCGTCAACACACCATTCCCCTCTCCACTCACCCCCAATATAAGGAGACTCACCTCCAACGTGCCCGAACGTGGTGTTGATGGCGCTGACCCACTTCTCAGTCTCCGCTTTGCTCTTCTCCAGCAGCAATCGTCTGTTCACGTCCTCACTTAGCCGCGCCTCTGCCTCCGCCAGGGCCTTCTGCTCTGCCTACCACGCACTGACCTTCAACACACCCACCATCCCCCTCTGCACTCACTTCCATCCAGTATAACAGGATTCACCCCCAACACAACAAGACTCACCTCCAATATGCCCAAACGTGGTGTTAATAGCGCTGACCCACTTCTCAGTCTCCGCTTTGCTCTTCTCCAGCAGCAGCCGTCTGTTCACGTCCTCACTCAGCCGCGCCTCGTGCGCCCGTGCCTCTGCCTCCGCCAGGGCCTTCTGCTTCAGCGTCTCCCTCTCGATTGCCGCCATTTCTAGCTCGGTTTGTCGCTTCTGCTGCTGAATCTGCGTGTTCAGAAGGGGAGAGGGGGGTGGGGGCAGTGGGAGGGGGTCCACGAGAGCAATGGGCAGCAGCAGGGTAGGGCAGGGAGTAAGAGAATTAGCAGAAACAGCAGTTTCAGCAGCACTCAGTCTTGCCGCGTGCGCCCGCGCCTCTGCCTCCGCCAGAGCCTTCTGCTTCAGCGTCTCCCTCTCGATTGCTGCCATCTCCAACTCCGTTTGTCGCTTCTGCTGCTGAATCTGCATGATTTGAGAAAGGAAGAGGGGGGTTGGGTTGGGGGCGGTTGGGGGAGGGGGGGGAAGGGAGAACCTAATGCTTCAGCGTCTCCCTCTCCATCGCTCCCATCTCTAACTCCGTTTGTCACTTCTGCTGCCGAATCTGTACCGTTTGAGTGAGAACAAGGGGGGGGAGGGGGTCAAAATACGTTCCCCAGGGTCAAACCTTCTCAGCCCTTCTGAGCCCTTCTGAGCCCTTCTGAGCCCTTCTGAGCCCTTCTGAGCCCTCTAGGCCCTCCTCCCTCTTCACCCACCTCGTTTGTCACAGGTCTCATATACCCCAGCCTCACCTCTTCCCTTACAGCCCTTACGATCTGCGCTCGAGAATCGAACCCGTTGTTGCTCATCTCAGCCGTTCATTCATCTTACCTCTTCCTCTGTGGCCCGTCGGATCTGCTCCTGCCTCACGCTCGACTCCTCCTGCATTTTCACCAGCTCTGCGTTCCTCGCCCTCTGCGCCTCGTGCTCCGCCTGCCAGGGGGAAACGCAGTGATCAAAACAACACACTGTACCGAACTGCACTGCACTGCACCGCACTCCATCGTGCACAATCAAGGTAACAATGGGGCTCCTCCTGCCTCACGCGCTCTCGACCAGCTCTGCATTCCTCGCCCTCTGTGCCTCGTGCTCCGCCTGTCAAGGGTTTATCAGCAACGAGGAACGGAAAACAGGGACGAGTATATGGGAGAATTTTGAGCGCCCCAAAAATCGAATATGGGAATAGGGAGAAACAAAGCTCTCCTGCTTCTCCACCCACTCCACCCCACTCCACCCCACTCCACTCCATTCCCCCCCTTCTTTCCCTGCACAAATGTGCCCATACGCCCATTCTTTACCATTCCGCTACGCCTTAATCCGCAACCCCTACTCCCCCCCACCCCCCAGCTTGTTCCTGACACCCCGGATTTCGAAAACCCCAAACCCAGAACCCTGGCAGTCCCCGCCCCTCAGCTGCATGCGCTTGCGCGCGAGTTCGTCCTCGTACCGCCCCAGCTGCGCGTTGGTCTGCGCCTGCTGCTGTCCTTGTGTCACCCACCCCCTTGCCTTCCCAGAATCCTTCCCCAGCCCTCCCTCCCCACCTTCCCCTTACCCCCGGTCTCCCCCTCACCTGCATGCGCTTGTGCGCGAGCTCGTCTTCGTACCGCGCGAGCTGCACCTTGGTCTGCGCCTGCTGCGCCACCAGCTTCTGCTGCTCCTCATACATCAGCTTCTGCCGCCCCGCCTCCTGCTGCCCTTCCCATACCACCCTGCCACCCCTTCACCCCACTCCATCCCTTCCCTCCCCCTCTCTCTACGGCCAACCCCTCAGACATCCCTGCCCACCTAAAACCCAAAACCCCTGAACCCCCTCACCTGCATCCTCTTCCGCACGAGCTCGTCTTCGTACCGCGCGAGCTGCGCCTTGGTCTGCGCCTGCTGCGCCACCAGCTTCTGCTGCTCCTCGTACATTAGCTTCTGCCGCGCCGTCTCCTGCTGCTGCCGGTGCACCTCCAGCTCCGCGATCCGCGCCTTCTCCTCCGCTAGGCGCACATCCTCCTGCTTGCGCATGATCTCAAACACCTGGGGGGGGAAGTTAAGCGGGGAAGAGGGGGGTTGGGGGGGGGAGAGGAGGGGGGGGGGCAGGTGGGCTTAGGAGACGGACGAAGCTGCTGCCGGTGCATCTCCAGCTCCGCGATCCGCACCTTCTCCTCCGCCAATCGCAATGATCTCAAACACCTGGTGTGAGGGGGGCGGGGGGGGACGGAGGAGACGGACGGAGCTGCTGCAGGTGGACCTCCCGCTCCGCGATCCGCGCATTCTCCTCCGCAAATCGCACTTCCTCCTATTTGCGCATGATCTCAAGCACCTGGTGTGAGGGGGGCGGGGGAAGGAGATGGGAAGAGACGGGGAGGGGGGGGGGCAGGTAATGGGAGGGAGAGAGAGGGAAAGCAGGGGCGAAATGGGAGAAGAGGCGGTGTCCTTAATACCCCTGAATGCTGGTTGCACTAGGTGACTCGTTAATTTGATCACCCGTTCGTCAACATACCTGCTTCGCACTAGCTGACTTGTTGATCTCCCTCAGAGCCTTCGCCCCGCGTTCCAAAGCCTCGGGATCGAATCCCGCCGCCGTCGTGCGCGGGTTGGGATTGTCATTCCGCTGCCGCTGCGATCCCTCCCCCGCGGCCGCGCTTCCGGCCCCAACGCTTGCGCCAGATCCTCCCGGCGGAAGGCCCCCGGGCGCAGGTCCCGGCGCGGGGGGGTGATCTGCGGAAGGCTCTCCGCCAGCTCCGCCTGCGCCTCCGCGAATGCCCAGCATGTTCCCCCAGAACGATCCCGCGGAAGCCACTGAGGCCAAGTTCTGCCGATCCGCCGGATCCGCGGAGTCGTCAGATCTTGCGATGCGTGAATCTACGGCTGCGATCGCGGCAACGGATACGGCGGATGCGGCGAGCACGGTCGCTGCTCCAGATCGACCGGAGTTCGCGGCTGACGCGGCAGCCGCTGATTGGGCTAGCCGACGAATCGAACTTCTGATCGCCATGGCTGGCAGATCAGATCCGATTGGATTCGATCGGATTCAATCAGGTCGGATCGGATCGGATGTACAGGAACTTGCTGAATGTCTAGTGGAAGCATGCAATGAGTGTGCTCCCCAGTTACGCTCTCGCTGTGGTCGCACGCGCGTATGAAGGCGCGACTGACTCGCAAATCGCAACTTCCGCGATCCGGCAGCAGAGAACCCGAGATCTGGTATGCAGAACGGTTGCCAGATTCTGATTCCGTGCGATCCAAATGAAGGAAGGAAGCCAAGACAATGCTGACCAGATAGGCGAACTGGCTCGCTAACCTAGACCATGAGGGTAAGGAAGCTCTTGGAAATGGGCGAAAGCAGATGAGCAGGCTGGAGTGGGCCCAGGCTAGAACTGAATGGGCCCAGCCCAAGAGCAAGCTCCTCGGGATTTGCTGAGGAAATGACAGAGCACCGTGTTTTCAAATTTCCAATTCCAATGGGCAGTGGTTTTGACAGCGCATCGCTCTGCGCTCGCGTCCAATACCTTGGGGCATATTATTTCTCAGTTTCCCCTTTTAAGTCCACAAATACAAGTTGTTTTTAGGTTACGGGGTATTGAAAATGTATTCGTCGAGTCCATGGCAAACGCTCAGCTCGGGACAAAAAAAATATAACCCTCATGGATGGTATGCCACGAAGAGAGCATCAACCCTAAACACCATGAGGCAAGGTGTTTAGGGTTGATGCCTCCCAAATGGCTTGTCATCCGAGTGGGTTTTAGTTTTTCCACTGGCCTCTATACTGAACCCAGGTAACTTACGGTAGTATTTGCCCTTCTATACGTTTGGTCATGAAAAACGGGAAACAGCAATATAAACTGACCGCGGGAATTGGGCGCGAGCGCGGTGGGAGTCGCTGTCAAAGCCACTGCCGAAAGGAATAAAAAACGCGCAAACACGGCGGTCCGTCATTTCCTCGGATTTGCTACTGGAAGCACGGCTTTGCTCCTCCAGATTTGCTACCACAGAGGGCGCAGAAAATAACAATCGGACGGTTAGGAACGGACGGCGAGTGAACACCGGGGAGGAGAGTATGTACGCAAAACACATTGGTCAATTACGGTACCGGATCATTCATCAACGAGAACGAGAGATTGCTGGTTGTTTGGGGCAAGGCCACAGGTTACCAAGTGGAAAATCGATCGCAGCCAGTCAGACACGACTAGACCTCGCACAGTTCACGAATGCGTGTTTGCGAAAGTCTTTGACAGCCTTCGGTTAGGAAAGCTAGGTGTGGTGATTGTCGTCGTTAATGTTCGGCACAGTGACGTAGGGTTTCCACAAACGCATTTACCTGTCTCTGTCTCATCAGCGAAGCTGTGGGCGAAAATGTGGGCCCCTCGTGTTTTTCCACAACTGCGTCTACACTGGAATACGGGTGTTACCCTCGGGTCACTACTGACGAATACGGCCGAAGCCTTCTTCCGTGTGTCACAAGCAAGATGTTTGGAGTTGAGAGACGCCACGCGTTTGGAGTGATTCCAGCAGGGTTGGAAATGGAAGATATCGGCGCAACGACTGATGAAAGCCCACCAATAGCAACGTCGATATCCGATTCAAGCTCATCATCTACACTGGAGCTACCTGTATAGCCTGGAACCGACTACCAAGTCTGCTCGTTGTTCCCACCACTCTCATCGTCCTAGGAAACAACTGATTACAAGTGTATCAATGGATGTCATCATCGTATACAACTGCAGCAAGGATGTAATTATTTACTGTCAACATTATTTACCATTATTTATATAGGTTAGTCATGGTAGCCGAGCTAGGCTTTCAACTAGTTATTGCCAGCAGGGTTTATGATGCTGTAGGGGTGCAATAACGGGTATAAATAGTGGTGGGACGTGTTTTCGTTCAAAATGAAAGTATGCCTGGTCTGAGTACACGATATGATAAGAACCATGCCCTGTTATGAAGGAATACACTCACAACAATGCATCAAGCACCATTAGAACAAAACCTGAAACGGAATGGAGCCTCGTGCGAATACCTTCCTTTCCACATCCTCGGCCTTTTCACTTCTGGGTCGGATCGACTGGTACTAGGTCGTTTCCCTCCACGCACTCATGCTTGCTTCCCTCCTTCAGCTTGCTTTCCTACTTCAACTCGTAGGTGACTCTTGGGCTGACTAGAAAGCCATCTCCTTACAGCAGGGTCGGATCGACTGGTACTAGGTCGTTTCCCTCCACACACACACACTCATGCTTGCTTCCCTCCAGATTGCTTTCCTACTTCAACTCGTAGGTGACTCTTGGGCTGACTAGAAAGCCATCTCCTTACAGCAGGGTCTGATCGACTGGTACTAGGTCATTTCCCTCCACACACACACACTCATGCTTGCTTCCCTCCTTCGGCTTGCTTTCCTAGTTCAACTCGTAGGTGACTCTTGGGCTGACTAGAAAGCCATCTCCTTACAGCAGGGTCAGATCTACTGGTACTAGGTCATTTCCCTCCACACGCACACACACTCATGCTTGTTTCCCTCCTTCGGCTTGCTTCCCTACTTCCACTCTTAGGTGACTCTTGGGCTGACTAGAAAGTCATCTCCCTACAGCAGGGTTGGATCGACTGGTACTAGATCGTTTCCCTCCACACACTCATGCTTGCTCCCCTCCTTTAGCTCATACCCGATATAGCAGCGGCACTCAAACTGTATAGTGCTGCTGCCACTGTTCGCTGGCACGCAAGTTCCGTGACCTGAGCAGGGTGGGCTGCTGCTGCTTGCTCCACAAAAGTTTTTACAAGCTGCCCAGCTCCGCTGTTGCTTTTCCGGGCAGCTACCTGTTTTAGACAGGCAGTTCTGTACAGCTCTGAGAGTTTCGTCGTCCCCAAGCCCCTGACTCAGGCCAGACTCCTCCGGGCAGAGTTTCTGCCCGGAAATAGTGAGCATGGGGTTACCCCAGAAATAGTTATACTGGAAATCAAACACCATGTCCCCATCACCCCTCCCCAGCTGAGGCAGCTTCCCAGAAAAGAAATTATAGGAGACGTTGAAATCAGTCAGGCGGAAGTTGCGTAGCGCAGCAGCAGGGATTGAACCCACGAGCTTGTTGCTGCTAATATCCAATTGCTTTAGTGCCCCCCCAACTCCCGCTTTCAATGCTCTCCAGGGAAATTCTCCGGTCAGCTGGTTGTTCTCGAGAGAAAGAACGGTCAGGGGTGGTTTGTACACGAAAAACTTCCATGAAACGGAGCCGTTGAGCCTATTTCCTCCGAGAGAAAGCCAGTAGAGGTTTGGAATCCTGCCCAGGACGTGTGGCAGATTGCCCGAAATCTTGTTCGAGCTCAGATTGATTAGATAAAGGTTTTGATGACGCCATAGCTGAGCGAGCGACTTAGTCGTGTCTGTGATTCCCGTTTGCTGCATACTCAGCCATTCAAGCCGCGACAACCTGTTGATTAGCTTGTAAGGGAAGGCCCCACCGATGGGATTATATGAAAGGTCGAGGTTCTTGAGAGATGGGGCGAGAGCGGCTAGGGCTCCTGGTAGCGGGCCTACCAGTCGATTTTCCTGCAGACTTAACTCCTTTAGGCGACTCAATCCCGACAGCTGGCGCGGCACGGCTCCGGTTAAGCGGTTATGCGCGAGGTGGAGCGTTTTTAAGTTCCAGAGGGTGCCCAACGTGGGGGGAATCGGACCGGAGAGCTGGTTTACGTTGAGTGAGAGGTAAGTAAGACGCTTAAGCCTGCTAAGCGTCGGTGGGATGCCTTGGGAGAATCTATGGCCGAGAAGGTCGAGCGACACTAGGTTCGTGAGGGAAGCGAGGGAGCGTGGGATGCGGCCGCTGCAGCCGCCCGTGCTGCTTCTGATGCTGACGGTGGTGAGGGTCAGAAGCGCGCCGAGCGATACTGGCAGTGAGCCTGTGATATTCATCCCGGAGATTTCTAGGTGTTGGAGGGAGTTGAGAGCGGTGATGGTCGGCGGAATCGGCCCCGTTTCCCAGAAGTTCAGCTCGATTTTTACGACCGCGCCTTGGGGCGTACATGTGACGCCTTCCCATTGGCTGCAGTCTTTTTCCGTGCGCCACGTGTCCTTGTAATAGTAGACGTCAAGATACGGCACCAAAGAGAGGAGGAACTTCGCCTGGGCGGAGTTGATTTTTGCAGCGCGGCTCGGGATGCACAGAAGGCTTATAGCGAGAAGAATCAGAGATAATATCGGGAATGTGAGTGGGGTTGATCTCCTCGGAGGTTTGTTGGGATGGGACGCCATGGATGCTTCGGGAAATGGAGAATGGCTACTTCTAGCTAACATAGAGCTTAAATTTAGTCCGTCACGAAGCAGGGGTGGAAGTGTCTGTTTGCAGTTTTTCCGTCTCCGCTGTTACGGATGTTTCGGAAGGTAATACATTTTTATAGCAAGCACACGAGGCGGGTGCTAACTGGACAATCGCGATACGGACACAGCAGCGGTTCTTTCCTTGTGAATACCATCGGCTGTCCTTGGCGGATTTTCCCTTTGCCAACAGAACGCGCCTGCTAAGCGGCGGAAGCCGCGCGAGCGAGTCGCGCCAGCAAGCCATGGATGAGGCTTGTTGAGAAATAACATCACAGCAGCAAGGAAGCTCAGCCCAGCAGCATTGCATTTCACAACCAAGAATATGAGCCTGAGTTATCGATGGCATAAATGGTATGGAAGTGACAAGTGTCAACCAGAAAGCAATTGTTTTCTACGGTCTGTTCGATTTTTTCGATCCCTCGTCCCTCATGACGGGGTTTCAATTGAAACAAAGGTTCCATAGGCCAGAATGTGATGCACAGAAGTGAATGCACACGAACCAGGCTGGAAATATGATTTCACTTCTTCAAACGACTTTTTTTTTGGCAAACTGATCCATCCCAGAGTAGCCGCGCGGGCAGCCTGAAATATCCAAAAACCACATATCACCAGGTTTGAGCAGTAGAGTGCGGCTCGATTTCTCCGCGCTGGTGCACGAAATTGAGCTTCATCGAACCGCACAGCCACAC